GCCATTATTATTATTATTATTATTATTATTATTATTATTATTATTATTATTATTATTATTATTATTATTATTATTATTATTATTATTATTAACATCGCCGAACTAGAAACATATTTCATACTAAGAGCTTTCGGCCTTCCTCGTACGAGCCTTTTCGTGTAGAGCTCAGTTACCATTTTTGTCCTGCCCACGTTAATTCTCTTGAAATACGGATTAGTCATAACAATCACTTACATCAGCCTTGAGCTAATGACAGTTACCGTCACAGAATCAGAACCGCTGGCTGTACAAGTTATGATGATGTTTTATGGTAAATAGGGATCTAGCCTGGTTTGTCATGATGTCTTCTAAAAACGTTGTCACTATTGGAAGGCTCATTCAGAGGTGCTTAAAGGAAGTTTGTTTACTTCCACAAACACCGTCGTCGAATTCCAAGGAATACAGATTCTTGAACGATAGAAAATACTGGGTGTATGACAGTCCGCCTTCTCCTCTGTACTATGATCGTCTCTTGTCGCCATTTCGTCATCTTCCCGCAGCGGGGAATGAAATTCCAATTATCACGGAGTGTAAACCAGAATCTTACCTGAAACAGCATTGGAAACAATGGCTTCCCGCTTTCCCTCCCGTAGTTATCAAGTCACTGGACGTAGGACTGCAGGATGATTTTCCAGTCGTGACAACAGCGGCGTTCCAAGACATCCCAAAGCACAAACACAGCGTAAATCCGGATGTTTTGTACGAGGTACAACTCAAAAGCTCGATTCCTAACATTAAAGCACCAATGCCAATGCCAACGCCATTTCTTATCCTTGTATGGTTAAAGTCAACATGAGCAGCGGCGGCCTTGGAAACTGGGTCGTTATGAATGAGGGCGAATTGTCCGCCACTTTGCAAAAACTCAGAGAAGTAAGTGGCTGGAAGGGAGAGATTGTGTTCCAAGAATTTATCCCTGGGGTCAAAGAAGTGCCCAGTTTTCAATTTTATCTGCAAAAATCGGGGGAACTCTTCTGGGTCGCGGCACAACAACCGGCGGATTTTGTGGGTTTTCCTGGGAAAGGGGAGCGGTGGACTGGGGCAAACAAGAGATGTATGAACACATTGCGTTCGAAGAGTTCACTTTACCAATTAAGAACTACCTTCAAGAACGAGGCTACTTTGGTCTGGTCACCTATGAGGTTTTAATTACAGATCATGGACGACTTAAACCCACGAATTGGCGGCGACACCACACATTTACTACTGGCTCGTCACATGGCTTTAGATTTTGGCTCGAAGCATTCAGCTATTTTCTGCTACAACAAGCACAAAACCACAGCGAAAAAGTTGGTGGAGAAGGCAAATGGCATCAACAAAAAAGGCGAAGGAATAATTATTGTACTATCTGCTGTTGATGCGGACTTAGGATGCGAGTCTTACTTGTCTATTTTTGCTAAGACGTCGGAAAAGGTGCGAAATCTCTTTCATAACTTGAACAACTGATATCAGTATGGGTGGATTTTTTTTAAAATGACATAATAGTGGAATTAGCTTAAAAATTGAAGGTTTTTTGGTAGAAAACTACTCCGACCAAACTGGACATGTTATATCATATCGCAAACAGTCTTTTCTTTTCAATATGGTGACCGTTATAAAGGATAGAGTAATTTCGTGAGTAGAAGGTGAAGGGTTGAATGAATAACGTTTTTTTCAGTCATCTCCTCGGCGAGCTTTTATTAGCTGACTGAAAGAAAAAAAAAAACATTATTCATTCACACCTTCACTTACTACTTATTTGATATAACGCGAGTCACGCGATTTTTTTTTTCGCCACACGCACCACAAAATTTCTATTGAAACAAATGTGGTATATAAGTTAGCGAGAAACGAGGAGAATCTGTTATACACAAAGCATTGCTGAATCAATCCGAAGATCAATCGCGAAGATGTTGGTTGATGATCAACCAACATCTTCGCGAAGAACTGACACTCCGAGAAGAGGAGATTAAGGAAGACGGCGAAAAAAATGCCCTTCTATTGACGGCAAGACGTTTAAAAAGTCACCAAGTGTGTGGTTTTTTTGAAGATTATCTTTGTGAAGCTTGGGGCAAAACGTTTGCGTAATGCTACACTCTTCACACGCTTAAAAAATACCATTGTAAAATGTTAGAAACATAAAATACCTCGTCAGTAGGGCCAGTTGATTGTTGATACTAAGTATATTTCAATGACTTTTCCTGTTTCTGGATTGTATTTTAATTGCTGTTCGAGAGGATTGTATGGGCGGTGTAATTGTGCTCGGGTAAAGTCCAACCTCTTTTTGGGGCAGGGAGCTTTCCAATAGCTGAATGAATGTCAAAGCCCGCGCCATCTAGATCTGCTCTATCAGTCTTCTATAAGGCTAAAATGCTCTGAAAAGTGTCAAATTTGTTCTGATAAACTGAACGTTTCGGGCTTAGCCCTTCTTCAACAAGCCACAATGAAAGCACTATAACAAAGTCCCATTGGTATTAACGTATAATCCATTCAACGTCAGCACCAGACGGATCTTGCTTGACAATTTCAACATCTTGTCCTCCAACCCAAGGCACGCAGGATTTTCCCCGAACCTCCGCTGGTATCATATCGGCGTGAGCTATACCTCGGTGATATCCTCGTACACTCCGCTGATGCCTCGCCGTCTCCCACTGATGCCGGTTCAGAGCCCTACCGACGGTCTCGATGCCAGACGTGCAAGCGCATAACTTCTCAGACTTTTCTACAAGGCCCGATGAGTGCACATAACATCCGTGATCACTTCACCTGTCAGTCTGAGAATGCTGTGTATTGCATTTCTTGTCGTCGCTGCAATTGTCTATACATCGGAGAGACTGGAAAGCGACTAGGGAACGTTTCAGCGATCACCTTCGCAGCATTCGAAACCGATCGCGCGGGTTTCCCGTAGCTGAACATTTCAACTCCGCCTCCCACACTCTGGATGACATCATAGTCTGTGGCTTGAAACAGTGCTCTGGCAATAACATCAGCCGCAAGCAGCATAAAATGAGATTAATCTTCAAGCTGGGCACGCTTCGACCGAACGGAGTAAACATTAACTTCGATAGGTCAATTCCGTTATATTAAAATTCTAACTTAAAAGAAATTAATTATTCATCCCTCGTCCTCGATGCGATTTCTTTTGTTTTATTCCCCTAAGCCTCGGAGCCAAGTTTTTTTGTATGGCGTGGCTAAATCCACCTACCGAAGAAGGGCTAAGCCCGAAACGTTTACTTTATCAGGACAAATTTGACACTTTTCAGAGCATTTTAGCCTTATATACAACTTTTCGGCAGTGTCACGAATCGTATGCGTTTTTTGCTCATTCCTACTGAATTTCTACCAGTCTTATACCGTTTGTTTGGCCTGACTTTTGTAGAAAGTTGGTCAGTAATCAGTTCACACCCAACTTTTTCAATCGTAGGCCGGGTAACTCCTTCCAGCCCCAAAGGACGAAACATTTTCTAGCCGTGGCTAAAAAGTGCACGTGGCTGTTGTACAATAGGGACGCCAATTTCATGCATTGTAAAATCTGTACGAAAATTTTCAAAATACTGCGCTCTTTCGTCTTCCCTGGTCTTCAAGGACACCAAATGGCCACCTTGTGTCTACATCCTATTTGTCCCTATGGGTACCGGACACATGTTCATAGATCTGGGAATCACACTCTTGGGCCTAGGACTCGTAGTTTGCTGGCTGTGTGAGTCCAGAACTCACTACAGCCTTTTTCTGGGTGGATGACTGTTCCATAGGTAGCGAGGCAAAAGGCTGAATGTGAAAGGTTTACGGTCAAGCTTTTTAGAATTTACGGACATGACCTAAAGATGCAAAAGTAAAGGAAAAGAATATTATTTTTATATGGCTTTGTATTATTGTTAAGAAAAAGTAGCAAAATCAATAGTGAACAAAGCGAAGCTGTTCTTCAGGCACTTCTAAGCTAGCTAGAAAAGGCAGTATGGCAATTCACTAGGCTGGAAGAGAAAGTTAACATGTTGCGACCTATCAACATTCATAAACAACGGCCTTTCAGCTGAAAAGTTCTAACAAGTCAAGTGAAGTCAAGTCATCTTTATTTAGGCAGGGTAGCCCCATCAGCCATTGGCTGATATCAAAGACTAAGACTACATGATAAAAAAAATTCAGAATTTAAAAATTACCGCAAAGTTATGTACATGCAAGGAGTGTAAAATTTGAACCAGGTTCGGTCTTCTGAAGAACAGAAATCGGGGTCAATATACAATACTTTACAACACTTGCTTCAGGACTAACTGGAATCGTTTACTTTGTAGAAAAGGGAGCTTTATTACCTCAACACAATTAACGCTGTATGGTGGCATATTACGTTATAAAATCGATAAAATGTTATGCCTTGTTCCGTCAGTCGTTTATACTAAGCTTTTGCCAATATTTAAAGCTGCTGTGATATCACCATACTAATCTGTTTATCTGTATATCGCATATTGGGAAGTAACCTTCCTCTTCGAAACAGAACCCAACTCCGTAGACAACGCTGCTTCTGCATAAAATACATCAGTGAGATCAAAACTGAAACACAAGATGGCTAATAACGACAATGGCATTAGCTTTGTCGAGGAAATACACTACTATATATTGTAGAAATATGACATCCTGAAACCTAACAAAGATACATCAGTACACAAGACAATTTAAACATGTTGAAATGAACGATTCAACGAACCCAAGCATTGCTCCGATGAAGGTTTTAGAAAAATATAATATCGATCATTTAACGTTAACGAAACAAACCCTAAATCTACACTGTTATCCTACTCCATAAACTAAACCGCGTCAATCTCCAAAAAATAAAACGCTAAACGTCAAAATATCGTATAAAGAAATCCAGAGTCGAGTTAGTTTTCTCCTTTCCTATAGAGTCTTTCTTTTCTTAAAGAAAGGACTTTCCTCACAATTGATCTCAAGGCTAGAAAGGATCAAGGTCTCATTTAACCGGTGGGGGGTGGGGGGGGGAACTCCCATGTGTAGGGGACGGGACGTTCGTCGTCTCGCTTAGGGGTGCAACTCACGAACTTTGGTCTCACTTACGGTGTTAAGGACGAACTCCAAACCTCTTAACTCAGTTATCTTTTAGGGCCGCGTGCAAACAGCAACAACAACACAAAAAGCATAAAAAAGAAATACCATCATGCTGATTTTGTGGTCTTAGTCGAATAAAAAGGAGATCAGTTGCAATGTCATCAAAACTGAACCATCTTTACGCCTTTGCCATCATTAAAATCATGGCAGCTTTTACTGTTCTAATTCTTTAAAGTGGCATCTTTTTTAGATCAACTACTCCTTCAGCCACGTCCAGTTGGACTTCTTCCTGTCTGACATATGGGAGTGCCCTGCCCATCCACCAGGCTCATTTACTAAGTTTTCACTCTGCTGACATAGTTTGACAGATTAAATTCCCTATGATTGACAAAACTTCTCTGTTTGTGGGAACGCTATCACACTAAAGTATTAAAGTACATACTCTTCAAATAACCTTGATTCTTGGTTTGTCAGACACAATAGTTCCTTTTAGTCCTTTTACACCTAGAAATTCTCAATTTAACTTAGTAAATGAGCCTGATGGATGGGCGGGGCACTCCCGTATGTCAGACAGGAAGAAGTCCAACTGGGCGTGGCTGAAGTAGTTGATCTAAGAAAGATGCCACTTTAAAGAATGAGAAAAGTAAAAGCTGCCATGATTTTGATGATGACAAAGGCATAAAGATGGTTCAGTTTTCATTGCATTGCAACTGATCTCCTTTTTACTTGACTAAGACCACAAAATTACCAACGGTTTTACTGTAGCAGGACATCACCAGTTATTTTCACATTCCATGTTATACTTTATACACATGGTAAAGAATTCAACAACAGTTCTGACAAAATTCCCCGCACATTTAACAATGAAAGCTCATTACGGCTGTCTCTTCATTCCACTGCCATCTTTGAAGCCTTTGCAACATTAGGTGTCCAGGCAAATCATTGTGAAGTGACAAGACGAGAGACTTTCAAGTAAAAGACTCGTCATATTGGGTACATTTCAAAGGTTTCTCACCCTGGAGGAGAGCCTTCCAAATACAAAGAATAGGGGTGCTCCTCGGAAATTTTGAAACGAACACCTAGGAGGTACCAAAATCTTGTTTTGTGTGAGTGGCTTAGAATTTTTTTTCTCCCCTAAGAGGTACCAATTCTAAAATAACACTTGGTCACCTGTAATATTTTTTGGGCTCAAACCCAAAAGGATACTGCAAAAGCTCTCACTGTGGACCTTCTGAGGCTAAACACCCTAAAATGTATGGCGAGCACCCCCATAAGGGAGTTCCCCACCTGGGTTTCTTATATACCGCGGTCAATTCACATGTGACTATTCAAATCTCCCACAGTTCTAAAACTAAAACACTTGTCACACTGAGAAAGCTTTAAGGGTTTCTTGCCACGTCATGTGTATTCGCAGCTGCCTATTCAAATCTCGGGCAGTTTTAAAGCTTTTGTCACATTAAATACATTTGAATGCTTTCTCACCACTGTAAATTCACACGTGAGCATTCCTATTTCCCACTTTACTAAAGCTTTTGTCCCATTGTGTACATTTGAAGGGTTCCACACCACTGTGTCATCAAGTAGTGTTGCAAATTGGCAGATCAACTAAAACATCTGTCTCACTGAGAACATCTGAAGGGTTTCACGCCACTGTGAATTCGCATGTGAGTATTCAAATTTCCCACAGTTCTAAAGCTTTTGTCACATTGAATACATTTGAAGGGTTTCTCGCCACTGTGAATTCTCAGATGAGTATTCAAATGTCCCGACTTTCTAAAGCTTTTGTCACATTGAGTACATCTGAAGGGTTTCTCACCACTGTGTATCATCATGTGATATTTTAAACTGCCAGACTGACTAAAACATCTGTCACATTGAGTGCATTTGAAGGGTTTCTCACCACTGTGCTTTCGCAGATGAGTATTTAAATTTCCCACAGAACTAAAGCTTTTGTCGCATTGAGTACATTTGAAGGGTTTCTGGCCACTGTGACTTCGCACGTGAGTATTCAAATTTCCCGCAGTCCTAAAGCATTTGTCACATTGAGTACAGTTGAAGGGTTTCTGGCCATTGTGAGTCTTTAAGTGTGAACATAAACCTGCTGATTGCTTAAAGCATTTTCCACACTGAGTACATTTGAAGGGTCTCTCGTCACTGTGAATTTGCACATGATTATTCAGTTTCTTTCTAGTACTAAAGCTTTTGTCACATTGAGTACAGTTGTAGGGTCTTTCATCACTGTGAATTCTAAAGTGACCTTGTAGATCTCCTGCCGTTTTAAAATGTTTTTCGCAGTGAACACATTTGTAAGGTTTTTCACCACTGTGAATGATGCCATTACATATACTTGCCATGTTCACATCTGTTCAAAACCTCAGTTTCAACACTGAAATGAAATATAATGCTCTAGTCAAATTTTAAACTATTACAGAACTAAGAGTTATTCATTTGTATACAGTATTGGGTAATTGTGAGTGCAATTAAGAATTCACCTTTGCCTACCCATCAGGATGGCATAGAAAACTGTGATAAGGTCTATTAGTGCAAAATACAGCAGTGAACCCAACAATCACATAATTTTGAGGAAAGTGTAATTGTTATGATTAGTTAGGTAATTGGCATGTATAAATGGGTACTGGAGAAATTATTGCTGGGGGGAGGTACAACCAGATGAACTAGCATCCCATCCAAGGAAGAGTAAAAATACTCCTTGTTGCTTCAATGTGCTGAAAGGTGGGATAAGCTCCAGAAGTGTGGACCACTTGACCCAACACAGATTTAAGTTTTCCTCAGGAAATTAGGAAACTCTATTCAACTGATCTGTAACAGGGTAGAGTAGGACTGGGAACATAGCTGGATTGAATTCCGAGGTTGTACTCATGCTCAACTCAATGAAAACACGCCATTGAGAATAAAACCTGTTGCCATAATCCGTGATCTTTGAAGATTAAATTTAATCCGGAAGCCCGTGGACGCATCCGTTCCAGTTCCTGATTTTCAAGATGGCGGGGCATTACATTACTATCCTCTGAGTGATCGAAGGAAATGTTTGCTTCTCATTCAACAACAGAAACCACAATACATCTAATTCAAAGGCATGCTCTCATCAGGGTCAGCGATTAAATTCTTAACTGTACTGCACTGAAACAAATCGCCGGACAGACATGCTGAAAATCACTCGACAGCGGAGCAAGATTCATCATTGAATCACTTGCAAACAGTCAGTGGGGATATAACCGTAAAACAGTTCTTCAGTATTATGCTATGAGTTTAAAGTGCTACAGATATTTAATGCTCACCTTCTTCTTCTTGTGAAGACGTTTTGGAAACGTCGAGGTTTTGAATTGTCTGCTTCACTCTAATAAGAGGATCCGGCGGAAATCAAACCTTTCCAGACACCGATATCACCAATTTCTTATCCTGATTCAGTGTTATCCAATGGTGTTTTCCCTTTAATAAACTTGGTAGCTTGACTTTGCCTGCTTCTCCTTTGATCTGGATGTTTCAAACTTACTGATCGATGGTGGGATTCAGCCCAGAGAAACTGGAAAAGTGCACTACCCATCCCCTCTTGGTAGGGTTCTAGTACTCAAGCGTCACGTGTTAAGTATGTTCTGTGGCCGTTTGCTCGACTGGGGTTGAATTGTCAAGTTCTGTGTCAAATTCTCTTCTTTTCCTGCCAAGAAGGTAAACTTCACAATATCCGTAGCACTTTGAACTGATAACCATAATACTTAAGGACCGTTTTACGGCTATATCCCCACTGACTGTTTACTAGTAATTCAATGATGAATCTCGCTCCGCTGTCGTGCAATTTTTAGCAAGTCTGTTCGAGCGATTTGTTTCAGTGCAGTGAAGTTAAGAATTTAATCGCTGTCTTTATAGTTTATATCCCTGATGAAAACATGCCTTTGAATGAGATTTATTGTGGTTTCTGATGTTGAATGAGAAGCAAACATTACCTTCGATCACTCAGAGGATAATAAAGTAATGCCCCGCCATTTTGAAAATTCGGAACTGGAACGCATCGGGCTTTCGGATTAAATTTAATCTTCAATTATCGCGGATTATAGCAGCAGGTTTTGTTCTCTGTGGCATGTTTTCTTTCAGAGATTGAACATGAGTACAATTTGTTTATTGCATCCAGCTTCGTTCCCTGTGCTACTCTACCCTGTTGGTGAAGGAGGCTCCTAATTTCCTGTGGGAATGTTAAGTCTATGTAGGGCCAAGTGGTCAATAATGCTGGGGCTTATTCCACTTTTCCATAATATGAAGCAACAAGGAGTATTTCTACTCTCTCCTGGATGTGATGCTAGTCCATCACAGAGTCACCCCTTAGCATGAAATTTAGTGCTACCCGCTTATACACCTGGATGGAAAGAGGCACCGTGAGGTAAATGTATCTTGTCCACGAATACACCACTATTACTCCGACCAGGGCTTGAACTCAGATCACTTGTTCTGAAGTCCAGTACACAAACCATTAGGCCACAGATGCCTTACATTCCTGCATCCAACTCCAGACGTTCACCACACCACCATTTTTCTGAGTAATCAGTCAAAATTTTCCCAGAGATTCTTGTTGTAGGAAAATATAGGATACAGTCATCTAAATACAGTGGGACCCTGTTAATATGACCATCTTCGGGCCATGAAAAATTGGTCGTATTAATGGGGTGGTCGTATTAATGAGGTAGGGTCACATTATGATTAAATAGTGCTAATTATATGAATACCTTTAATTCCACCATAAATCAACCTTTTTACAGTTATTCTTCAACCTTACAACAATAATTCATTGCAACTGAACAAAGCTGAGTACACATTTGTCATATTGTTTCTGTCTTCATTCAGCTTCCTCACCAGTCACCAGTCAATTTAACTGGTTGTATTAACGGGGTAATTCTATAAAGAAAATCAGGACTGAGCACTCCAAAATGTGATCGTTGGTTGTAATAATGGGGTGGTTGCATTAACAGGTTTTTCAGATAAGAGAATGTGTGGACTCTTGCTCGGGCCATAAAAAAGTAGTCGTAATAAAGGGTTGGTCATATGGCAGAGTTCCACTGTATAAGTGTTCTGAAACCTAGATTGAAAAAACTGATCTGAGCTAAATTCGGTTCAAACAGCAGAAATTGGTGATTCATTAACTTTTAGTATAACATTTAGCTTACAGGACAAACAACAACATGCCTAACTTATTATATGACTGAGAAAATTACTTCAATATTATTGGCTGAGGGCAGGTAAATTTATCATTCATTTGTAATTTGCACTCCAGTTCAAATTAATATGGGCAGGTTCCTAATTTTCTTAGTCATATAATAAATGAGTAATGTATCAAAACTTGAGCAATATATTAAGGATTTACACTGCTTGTAATTTGGAGAGAGGTCTTAAATATGACTTGTAAATCCTTAACTTCAGGTGCATTCAAACAATTCCTTTTGTTAATAAATAGCTCTTCTGTTATAGTTAACATTTTGCTGCAACAATATGTTATTACTTTTTTTGTGTTGAAAATGTTTTCAGGACTCAGGAACAGACATGAATATGGCAAGTACATATATGCAACATTCACAGTGGTTAAAAACCTCACAAATGTGTTCACTGTGCCAAAAGTTTTACTGAGTGGGCAAGAAATTTGTGGAGTCACCTTGAAATTAAAAGAACGACAGACTGTACAAATGAACTCAATGTGACAAGTGCTTTAAGCAAATTTAGCAGGTTTATATTCACACTTGAAGATTCACTGTGGTATGAAACCCTTCAAGTGTTCTCAATGTGACAGGTGTTTTAGCCAGTCAGGCAATTTGCAACGTCACCTGATGATACACAGTGATGAGAAAGCCTTCAAGTGTACTCAATGTGACAGGTGTTTTAGCCAGTCAGGCAATTTGCAACGTCACATGATGATACACAGTGGTGAGAAACCCTTCAAATGTACTCAATGTGACAAAAGCTTTAATACTGTGGGAAATTTGAATACTCACATGCGAATTCACAGTGGCGTGAAACCCTTCAAATGTACTCAGTGTGACAGGTGTTTTATTCAGTCAGGCAGTTTGCAATATCACATGATGATACACAGTGGTGTGAAACCCTTCAAATGTACTCAGTGTGACAAAAGATTTAGAACTGCAGGAAATTTGAATAGTCACGTGCCAATTCACAGTGGCTTGAAACCCTTCAAATGTACTCAATGTGACAAAAGCTTTAGAAGGGCGGGAAATTTGAATAATCACGTGCGAATTCATAGTGGCGTGAAACCCTTCAGGTGTACCAAGTGCGACAAGTGCTTCACTCGTATGGAAAGTGTCTTACATCATAACAGATCATTTCACAGTGATTTGCCCCACAAGTGAAGAAAATTTGGCAAAAGCTTCAAAGATGGCAGTGGATTGAAGAGACACGTGTGTAAGGAGCTTTCCTTAGAAGATCGGAAGAAATTCACCCGTTGAATGTGCGGTGAATTTTGTCACAACTGTTGTGGTATTCTTTACCATATGTAAAAACATGGGATGCGAAAAAACTACACTGGAGATGTTCTGCTAAATAAGTAAAACCGTTGGTGGATTGTCATTGAGAATTGTTAGCCATAAAAGACTAAGAGTGAAATGTGCTGGCAAATCAAGAATCAAGTTTATTTGAAGAGCATGTAGTCACGCAACAGAGAAGTTCGTTTAATCCTAGGGAATCTGTCAAACATTGTCAGGGTAGTGAGCCCGGTGGAGGGGCGGGGCACTCCCATATGTGAGAGGGGAAGGAGCCCAGTCTGGGTGTGGCCGGAGAAGTATTTGATCTAAAAAACAATCAGAAAAGTAAAAGCTGCCATGATTTTAATGATGTTAAAGATGTAATTCAGTAAAGATGGTTCAGTTTTGATGACATTGCAACTGATCTCCTTTGTATTCAGCGAAGGCCACAAAATCAGCATGATGGCATTTTGTTTTGTTTATTTTTTCCGAATATGTTGAGCGCAACCCTAAAAGATACCTCGAAAGCTAAACTAAGTGAGACTAAGGTCGTGAGTTGCACTCCTAAGCGAGACGATGAACGTCCCGTTTCCTTTCTTATGGGAGTCCTTGACCCCCACCCCCCAACAGCTCCACCCCGGTTAAAAGAGTCCTTGCTATAAGAAAGGAAGGACTCTATAAGACTTCACTTTTTTTATTTCTTTTTACGATGTTTTAATGCGTTCAGCATTTTTATTTAATGGAGATTAGCACAACACGTTTCAAGGGTGGTCTATCTTTTAGTATTAACGAAAGAGTTGTTTCCATTTAAGAAATAGAAAACATGCACCGTGTTTCTATCGAGTTTTAGTATAAATCTACTAACGTTCTATCACGAATGCTATTCTGTGATAGATACTGAGTAGCGTAGCAGTGTGCCATTGTTAAGAAAATGACGGCCGCTTGGCGTTTTCGAAGTGTCTGTGAAGAGGATTTGAATAAAGTTTTGAACGACTAGGAGATTTGTACTAGAAAAATCATATTATTCGCTCTCGATTTCTATGCGTGATAGTTGACTCGGGCTGCGCCCTCGTTAACTATTACGTGATAGAAATCTCGAGCTCATGATCTAATTGTTTAATAGACACACGATTTTAGCCAATCAGCGCGCGTATTTTCTAAGAACTGTTTCCTAAATAGTTTATGCAATATGATTACAGTTTAGATTTAGGTTTTGCTTTGTTAACGTTAAATCATAGTAGATTTATCTAAAACCTTGATCACAGCAATGCTTGGACACGTGATATAATTCAGTTTAACATGTTTACCATGTAAAATTGTTTTTTGTACGGAGATATCTTTGTTAAGTCTCAGGATGTTACATTTCCACAATATATAGTACGGCCGTTTCCCCGACAAAGCTGATGCCATAGTGTTAAGTAAACTATCTTGTGTTGCAGTGTTGATCTCACTGTTGTATTCTATCCAAAAGCAGCGTTGTCTACGGAGTTAGGTTTTGTTTCGGACAGAAAGGTTACTTCCCAATATACGATATGCAGATAAACATATTAGCGTGGTGATATGACGACAAGTTTATTACAAAAGCTTAGAAACGATAATAAACTGACAGAAACAATGTAGGACAATATTTATTGATTTCAAAAAATATGCCATAATATCGCGTTAATTGTGTTGAGCTAATAAAGTTCCATTTTCTACAAAGTAAAGAAAAGTAAATGATCACAGTTTGTCCTGTAACAAGTGTTATCAAGTTGTACTATGCTAACCCTGATGTCTCTCATTTGGAGGACCGACCCTGGTAGAACTGTTCAAATCGTACTGTTCAGCTCAAAGGCTGTTGTTCAAGAACATTGTTGGTAAATCGCACTATGTTAGTGGACGAGTGGACTGCTATACCGCTTTTCCCAGTCAGCTTAGAAGTGCATGAACAACAGCTTCGTTTTGTTCACTCGTGATTGTGCTGCACTCATGACTTCTCTGCCTCGTTCCAAGGCGTCCTCGTTCCTAAGCCTTAAAACGCAGTACCATGCGGCACCGTGCTTCCTGTTTTCCGCCTTTCACCCTAAAAATACAACAGCGCCAAGGGAGGAGGCAGGGCTTCATATGTCTGGTTGCCGCCAAGTATAGTCCCAAACTCCCATATAAAAAGGACGGGGATGCTCGTCGGAAATCTTGAGAAGAATCCCTAAGGGACCATTCATTATTTATGCCTGGGTGGGGACTGTCAAAAAGGAGCTCGAGGAGGGGGCCCGTTTTAAAATTTTCTTGAACTTTTCGTGCAAAGAAGAATTTACTGTTCTTTTATAAGTTTCTGATTTTACTAGGCTATCAATCAAGGTCATATAGAGTATGTGAGGTTTCAAAATACTATTTTTGGAATGATGACAGTTTCATAAGACGTGAAAATTGTGAGCGCTTCTGTTTCCCACTGCGATTTGAGTGCGTTTGAACAACACTCACGCTTTCGGGCATTGTGTACTTTTTACGGGCAATAAGGTCATTCCCCTCCACCCCCACCAAGTCCGAAGGTGCCTGTACGCCTATTTTTGCACTTTCCGTTCCGAACCGCCCGATTCTAGAGGTGCTGCCATGATATTCAATACTTACAGGGGTGTACCTGGCTTATGACTGGGTATTGGGGCGCAGGCAGAGGTTTGAATCCACGCCCCTCTAACGGACAAAGAAAATGTATGCCCATGCAGAAGAACCACCTTTATTCTACAAACCTGTTGGAGACGAAGAACCTCAGAACTAGGTGAAATTAGGCCATACTAGCAACCATACAATTACTGTCGTGTCCTAAAAGTTATCTGATGTGGCCGTGATGGTCTGCCAAGTATGAGCAGACACCTCCGACACCAGATTGCTGAGTACTGTATAAAAAGCAGTCATGCAATCATGAGGTTGAAACCCTGTTTAGGACAATCTTACATGAATTACTACGATTATCAGTTGAGTAAGGCGGGACGAAAGTCTAGTCACCAAGTTTTAACGTAAAACTCGTGCTATTGTCACGAGCAACTGGCTCCGTATCCATTGGCAACTTGTCGGCCTTTGACGTCATTGGCAGCAAAGCGCGCGAAATTGTAGGCGACGCGACAGGCGARSKACGGCTGTTGATATTGTTACCAACGGAAACGAGGTAAGTTGCCCGTGACAACACCATAATTTTAAGGCCAAAACTTCGTAACCAAACTTCCCTCGTGCCTTACTCAACTGATAATCGTAGTATATACCTTGCCCAGGGCTGAGACCAAAAACTGATACCCTTTCCTCGCGGCACGTCCACGTATGCGCCCTACCATATGAGAGAGCCGAGGGAGTCAGGGAAGAAAACCACGACGGCAACGGCAACGGCAACGTCGCTAAACAAAAAGATGTAATGAGCAGAACAATAGCTGTGCACGTACGTTATAATTCTTGGTTCATTACTTTGCTGTCCTCTGCAAAACAACGTGAAATGACTATTTTTTTAAATTTCTATTTCGAAATTAACGCTGTGTTCCATATCCAGCCTTGACACTGAGAAACAAACTAAATGACTTTTAAGTATCGCGAGATTCGTGGGTAAAATATAAGTTTATTTTTTTAATCGCCGTTGTCCTGGCGTCGCCTTCGTGGTTTCTTAAACTCCCTACTATTAACCCCAATAAAGATAACGTCAGACGAAACAAGTAAAATTTATTCCCATTCAAAGAAACACGGTTCCCGTTTTGCGTTCAATGATCAAAGATAAGTACTAGATACTTAGAGTGTTACGCCAGCATTAGAACGAGCGAGTATCGCATAACGTAACAGTAACAGCAACCAGATATTTGAAGCCCTGCCTCCTCCCTTGGCGCTGTTTTATTTTGGTGAAAGGCGGTAAACAGGAAGCGCGGTGCTTCATGGTACCGCGGTTTAAGGCCTGGAAATTAGCACGCCTAGGAACGAGGCAGTCAAGTGACGTGTGCAGCAAAATCACGAGTGGACGAAACGAAGCTGTTCTTGATGCACTTCTCAGGTGGCTGGGAAGAGAAGTATTGCAATCCTCTCGTTTTAGGACAGAATGGAATCATCTTCATCATCATCATAAACTTTATCTAAGTGTCGGGGTTATTTAGCTCCCCGGGGGGTACTTCCTTATATGGGCTATATAGGTATGTGTGGTCCCAAAGGGTAGGGTTTTTCAGCCGTTTTAGCCATAAATAAGGTATCGATTTTGGTCATAAATAGGGTACGGTTTTCTTGCACTCTGGCCTTGAATTAAGTATGTTTATCAGAAGAAGCTTACTTTTTCATCATTATCGATAAGACCATCAACAAAAGCCCTTCATAAATTATGGTTAGAGCAACTGTGCCAGCCGCAACGGCCATAAATAGGGTATCGGAATTTTGGTCAGGTCGTAAATAAGGTAGGGAAAATCGCAGATTTTGGTCATAAATGGGGTTAGGGTTTTAGGAAGCGGGCCGCACAGCCCCCACCCAATTTTTCTGGGAGTCCCCCCCCCCCCCCCCATTAAGCTAGGAGGCTAATTGGAGACACTGTTCTAGATAAACATATACAAAAGCAACATGCACCGTCCAGCGGGCTCTGCACATCAAGAGTACGCACAGCCTTTTTGAACGTCTGTAGAGGGGCCTCATCGCGTGGTTCTGATCTTAACCTGTTTTACAGGAAGGTGTCTAAATATCTGATGCCATGTTTACCGTGTTTAACAGTATTGTATCTAGGAATTTACTTTATATACAAGAGAACTTTATTACCTCAACACAATTAACGCTGTGTGCTGGCATATTTTATTATAAATCGATAAAAATGTTACTCCTTGTTCCTGTCAGTTTGTTATCGTTTCTACTGAACCCGTGGTCATATCATCATGGCAATATGTTTATCTGTATATCGCATAACGGGAAGTAACCTTCCCCTCCGAAACAAAACCTAATTCCGTAGACAACTCTGCTTCTGCATGAAATACAACCGAGGGAAAATCTGAAACCCTACTCAATATGATAGTTGATTACTACTAACAATGGCATCAGCTTTGCAGAGGAAATACAGTACTATATATTATAGAAATGTAGCATCCTAAAACCTAACAAAGATACATCTGTACACAAAACAATTTAATCATGTACAAGTAAATGATTCAACGAACCCGAGCATTGCTGCGATAAGGTTTTAGATAAATCTAATAACAAAACAAACCTAAACCTACACTGCAATCCCACTCCATAACCTATATCAAAACAACACTAAAAAAGGATACAATATACTTTTAACTTTTTTGCTTAATCATGTTTTTGTGTTAATCTACGCCAGATAAAAACGCTAAAAGTCAAAATATAAGTCAAGTTAGTTTTCTCATTTCTTATAGAGTCTTTCTTTTCTTAAAGAAAGGACTCTACTCATAAACAATCTTTAAGTCAGTCTTTAAGTATCAAGGTCTTAGTTAGCTGGGGTGGTGAAGGGGATCTCGATGGATTGGGGGGGGGGTTGGTACTCTCATATCTAAGAGACAACACGTTTGTCGTCTTGCTTAATGGGTGCAACTTAGAAACGTATGGTCTCAGTTAAGGCGTTTAGGACAAAACTCCAAACATTTTAGCATTTAAAAAGTAAAGAAGCGCCACCATGCTTAAATTGCTTATTTTGTGGTCTTGCCATCAAAAAGTAACCATCGTCACGCCTTTGGCATCATCGAAATCATGGCAGCTTTTATCATTTTTGCTTGTTTAAAGTGGCATCTATTTTAAGGTCAACAACTGCTACAACAACGACCAGATTAGACTACTTTAGGTGATTAATTTTAACATTTCCGACATATGGAAGTGCCCCGCCCATCCACCAGGCTCATTTACTAAGACAGGTTTTCACTACGCTGACAATGTTTGACAGATTCCCTATGATTACACAAACTTCGCTGTTGCGTGAAGTTTATCACACTCGTATACCGAAGAACACGCTCTTCAAATAAACGTGATTCTTGATTTGTCAGCACACTTCACTTTAAAACTAAATCGTTCCTTTTACAGCTGAGAGTTCTCATTACTAATCCACCAACGTTTTTACCACAGCAGAACATCACCAGTTTACTCTTTTCGGATTCCATGTTTGTACAAATGATAATGACTTTCTCAACAGTTGTGACAATCGTCCCCGCACATCTAACGAGTACATTTCTCCCGATCTTCTAAGAAAAGCTCCTTACACTTGTGTCTTTTCAAACAACTGTCATCTTTAAAGCTTTTGCCAGATTGGCTAACCAGGTAAATCACTGTGAAATGATTTACCATGAGACAAGAGATGTTCCTTTCGAGTGAAGCACTTCTCACAATGGGTACATATGAAGGCTTTGTCGTCACTGTGAGTGCGCAGATGTCTATTCAAATCTCCCACAGCTATAAAGCCTTTGTCACATTGAGTACATATGAAGGGTTTCACACCACTGTGAATTCGCAGGTGTCTAGTCAAATCTCCCACAGTTACAAAGCTTTTGACACATTGAGTACATTTAAAGGGTCTTACACCACTGTGTATCATCATGTGATATTTCAAATGGGCAGACCGACCAAAACAGCTGTCACATTGCGTGCATTTGAAGGGTTTCAAGCCACTGTGAATTTGCAGGTGTCTATTCAAACATCCCACAGTAGCAAAGTTTTTGTCACATTGAGTACATCTGAAGGGTTTCTCTCCACTGTGCATCATCATGTGACGTTGCAAACTGCCTGACTGAATAAAACACCTGCCACATTGAGAACATTTGAAGGGTTTCTCGCCACTGTGAATTTGCAGGTGTCTATTCAAACTTCCCACAGTACTTAAGCATTTGTCACATTGAGTACATTTGAACGATTTCAAACCACTGTGACTTCGCACGTGAGTATTCAAATTTCCCACAGTACTAAAGCTTTTGTCACATTGAGTACATTTGAAGGGTTTCTCACCACTGTGTATCATCATGTGACGTTGCAAATTGCCTGACCGCCTAAAAAGACTGTCACAATGACAACACTTTATCATCTTGTGACCTTGCAAACTGGCTGAGTGACTAAAACGCCTGTCACATGGGGTACACTTAAAGAGTTTCTTACTGTGAATTTGCAGGTGACTATTCAAATTTCCCACAGTTCTAAAGCTTTTGTCACATTGAGTACATTTAAAGGGTTTCTCACCACTGTGAATTCTTAGGTGATATCTCAAATTACCTGCATGGTGGAAACACTTCCCACACTGAGTGCATTTAAACAGTTTCTTATGGGTACCACTGTGAGTCTTTAAGTGTGAATATAAACCTGCTGGTTGCTTGAAGCATTTGTCGCACTGAGTACATTTGTAGGGTTTCTTACCACTGTGTATCATCATGTGTTGTCTCAAACTGGATGACCGACTAAAACACCTGTCACACTGAGTACATTTATAGGGTTTCACACCACTGTGAATCTTCAAGTGTAAATATAAACCTGCTGATTGCCTAAAGCCTTTGTCACATTGAGTACATTTGTAGGGTCTCTCATCACTGTGAATTTTAAGGTGTTCTTGCAAATAGTCTGCCTTTTTAAAACGTTTGGTACAGTGAACACATTTGTAAGGTTTTCCACCACTGTCAATGTTGCCATTGTGCATTCTTTCCATATTCACATCTGTTCATGAGTTCAGAAAACCTTTTCAACACTAAAAAAAAATATATCATACTATTACAGCAAAATGTTAAACTATAACAGAACAAAGAATTGTTATTGGCAAAGGGAATAGTTTTCATACAATTGCAATCAAGGATTTCCAAGTGACATTTAAAAATTCTCTCAAAATTATGAGTAGTGTAAATCCATAACTGCTCATGTTTTCATACATTACTCATTGTAATATAACTGAGAAAATAAAGCACATGCCTAAATTAATCAGAAAAATGGTTGTGTCGTGGAGGTGGATGCAGGAGATAAAGGTATGGTGCCCTCCGGATTGAGTGGTCCGGGTTGAAGCCCTGGGTGGAGCAATAGTCATGTATTCATGTACAAGATACATTTATCTCACAGTGCCTCTCTCCATCTAGGTGTATAAATGGGTAGCACAAAATTAAACGCTGTTGGATAACCCTGTGATGGACTAGCATCCCATCCCGGGGTAGGGTTTTTCAGCCATTTTGGTCATAAATAGGGTATTGATTTTGGCCATTTTGGTCAGAAATAGGGTATGGTTTTTGCACTCTGGTCTCAATTTGTTTTTAGAGGAAGCTACTTTTTTATCATTATCAATTAGACTGTCAACAAAAGCCCTTCAGAGATTATGTTTAGAGCAACTGTGCTAGCTGCGATGGCCATAAATAGGGTATCAAATTTTGGTCAAGCCATAAATAGGGTAGGGCAAATCGCAGATTTTGGTCATAAATA